ATGAGCATGTTTGCATGACATGAAGGTGCTTTGACTTGACATGTTTTGGTTTGCAAGTCCGATGATGAGTTTTGAGAAGCACAGAGAGGCTTTTAGCTCTCGGGAGTTGACCTGAGAGTCATCTGGAAGTGCTGAAACAAAGCTCTGAGGAACAGACTTTGGCCGTTACTCACTCCGTGTGCTTTGCCCCGTCGTTCGTACCGTGTCGTGACCGTTTGACACTCGACTGAGGCATTCTGAGAGCATGCTGTATGTTTTGCAACAGACCTGAAGTCCTGCACCAGTAACCAAGATGTTTTGCATGTTACTTTTGTCTTCTCCTTTGTCTAAACAAAGTTGAGATGTCGTTTGAAGACTTGAAGCCTTTGCTCTTGGAGAGAGCACCTTTGCTGACCAAAGACAGTGCAGCTGAACACTGACGTGTTTGGCTCAAGTGCGAACGGAAAAAGCAGTCTGCGCTGAAGCTCTGCTTTTCACAAATTTTCCAAAATGCAAGTTTCAGCACTTTTCAAGGTTTTTGGATTTAATTTTCATTGTTTGCAGGCGTCGCTGGTTGTTGTTCAGCTCTCTGCAGTGGTCTTAGCCGGAATTTACCCAGACGGAATTTCTGAAAGCTGCATGTTTTCAGAAATTTGGATTTTTGTTTTTGAAAACCATGAAAAATGTGTTGTTTTTCCATTTTACCTGGCAAGATAGCATGTAGGAATTCCAAAATGATTTGTTTTTAAACCAACCATTCCACAGAATGCATTCTAGATTTTTTGGACGCCGCGTTTCTTACAATGTTTTTTGAAAATTTTGAAAATTTAAAATTTTAATTCAAACCAAGCCGGTTGGCTTAGTTGCAAAAAGTTAGTAAGGCTCATTTTGTTTTCAGATCATTTTGTTGACAATGTTTCTCAAACAAGGAAAGTTGAAAAAAAAACATTAATTGATGTTTTTAGAATTGTGCTCAAGCAATTTTGTTTCTGAACCAAGGCATTGCAAAATCAGTATTCACACTGCAGACTTTGAAATGCTTGAAAACCAGTGTTTCCTGTTTTAAATGTTTTTTCATTTTGGAATTTTTAAAAACAATCTGCTTTGACCAAGGCAACTTTGAAACAGTGTTTTTCTGGTTTTAAATGTTTTTCATGTTTGAAATTACAAAAATAATTTGCTTAACAGGGCATCTCCAATTTGCTCAAGTTTGGTGTTGCCTTGCATGTGTCAAGCCAGACAGCTGAAAAACACAGCCAAAGTTTTTTTAAGGTTATGTTTCTTTGCTGGTGCTTTGTTCAGCCTTTGCAGGTGCAAACAGGAAAAATGCACGTCAAGTCAAGCAGTAGAAAAAAAAATGGGCTGAGTTTGAAGTCTTGGCTTTGACGCGAACAGGGGAAACCGGTAGATGGGCTGCGACGACCGCAATTGCAGACCGCGACGGCGACGCGTGGGTGGTGGTGGCGGGCCGTGGACATGAGTCATAACTTAATAACTTATGACTCATGACTATGACATGACTTATGACTCATAACTCATGACTTCCATGTCTTTGCACTTTCGTTTGATGTTGGTTTGATGGTAGGTGCGCTGTCTTATTGCTCTAGCTTACTGGGGCGCTGTTGCGTCGAAGAAGCAGTGAAGGAAAAAAAATGACTTATGACTTCCACAAAATACATTCTGTTTTTTTTTGAACGCCGCGTTTTTTCTAATGTTTTTTAAGATTTTCAATATGTTAAATTTTAATCCAAAGCAAGCCGGTTGGCTCAGTTTCAAAAAGTTAGTATGGATCATCTTGTTCATTTTGTTGACAATGTTTCTCAAACAAGGAAAAATTGAACAAAAATCAATTAACTTTTTTTTTTGATTTTGTTTTTTAGGCAAGTTTGTTCAGAGCGATTCTGTTTCTAAACAAGGCATTCCAAAATTATTATTCATGTTGCAGACTTTGAAATGCTTCGAAACCAGTTTTTTTCTGTGTTTTAAACGTTTTTTCATGTTTGAAATTTTAAAAACAATTTGCTTTAAAAAACGTAGCAAAAGAGCATCTCCAATTTGCATCTCAAGTATGGTGTGGCCTGCATGTGTCAAGCCAGGACAGCTGAAAAACACAGACCAAGTTCTTTGAAGTCCTGTTTCATTGCTGGTGGTTTTGTTTCAGTCTTTTTTGCAAACAGGAAAAAATAGCCCTACATGTCCTTCCAGCCCAAGCATCAAAATCGAAATACTGGAATCAGGTTACTCTGTTTAGAGGCGCTTCAAAACGCTCAAAAACACCAGAATCGCAAGCATAATGTTGGAAAAGGTCACGCACGAACAAGTCGGGACAGAGCAGCATCAACATAACAAAATACGCAAATCAGATCATTACAGATCATTGAGTGATTGGGAAAAGAAGCGCTTCAAAATGCTCAAAACACCAAGATGGCAAGAATAATATTGGAAAGCTTATACACAAACAAGTCGAACCAAAAAAACATCAACATCAAAGTACGGAAATCGAGTCACTGAGTGATTAGGGTTTCGGAGCGCTTCAAAAAACTCACAAGACCCAAATGATATTGGAAAAGCCTGTACACGAAGTCGAAAACAAAAAAAACATCAAAATACTGCAATTAAGTCACTCAGTGATTGAGGTTTAGAGCGCTTCAAGACACTCAGAACACGGAAAAACCGTCGCACGCAGGGCAGCATCTCCTCCGTCTTCGCCGCAAAAGCTGATAACACGAAAAGGAGCAATGGCCTACACCCTGCGCCCTAGACCGAAACCCGGGACCCTGTAGCCTCTAAACCCAGAACCCTAGACCCTCAGGCCTCAACCCTAGACCAGAACGCAGAAACTTTCATGGTCCAGGAAGGGTTTAGGGCACGCGAAAACACGAAAGGAGCAATGGACTGGCTTCGACGTCTGTTTGTCGGTTCAAACCGAGTACCTTTGAGCCTAAAAACCCGACCCTCAAACCTGAAAATAAACCCTGGACACTTAGCTCCGTCGTAGGTAATGGGGCCATGTAATCCATGTGGCCCCCTGATTTGATGCCAAGCAGAGAGTGCTTCGCACCCCCATTTTGCCGTCAGGCAAAAAACCCAAGTCTGGCTAATGGTCCGCAGCGTCGTTTTGCCTGTTGCGTATCTTTGGAGAATGCGCGGGTGGTTATGGTTGTTTTCCATTTTCCTCTACGCTAACATGTGTGCGCGGCTTTTCCGCCGGTTTGCTTGTACAGTCTTGCTTCCAACCAGTTACGTCTTAATCCAGCAGGCCTTTGTCAGACCTTTTTACACCCAAGATGTGCCACAGATCGCATTTTGCGAATTTGCCCCCGTCGAGCAACATCACTGTGTCTTGTTGTCGGAAAGATCCGACGTCGTCTACGTCGAGTACTGAGAGAGGGGGTTTGGTTTCACCTTTGCTAGCGCTCTGGCCTTTTGCTTTGTTTTTTTATTCTCGTTTCTTGGTTTGGCTTTTTGGTCTGTTGCTTGTTTCGTGTTGATGATTGGCCAGCATCGACGCTGTTTCAATTATAGTTGCGTGTCCCACACACAAGAACGGCCGGCTGTGTGACGGATGTCGTAAAGAGGCCAAAAGAAATCTTGAAAAAACCAGTTTGTTGGAACAATTTCACGTCTCATTATCCAGAATCATGCCAAGCAATCATATAGTCAGGCAAATGACGGCCAAACTTCTCGCAACTTCTTTCACAGCACTGCCGCTAAATTAAATATTTTGGTGGTGCTTTGGTAACTGACTTTGGACAGCTGTGCAGTGATGTCATCGTTCGTGTTCTGAGCCGGGCTGTTTCACCTGGTTGCTTAGGATGCTGTCTGCACTCTTGGTTTTCCTGTTGTTTGAGGGAGCGTTTCACTGGTTTCCATAGGCAAATCTATAAAACAGGCAAAGTCAAAGAAATAGTTGTCTGCAGTCTGACTTCTTCCCAAACGGTTTCCATTGCATCACGGCAAACACATTTTGTTTTTTGCGCAGCTTTCTCAAGGGTGTTTGGCTGTCGGTTGGTTTTAGCAAAGGCAGAGCGCAAAGCTGTGCGATTGGCCGCCGTTATGTGCTTGCTGCTGGTTGGTTATGTTGCTGTGTTGTTGTTTGTTTTTTGGTCTGATTGGCGCGACGATTTCTGTTTTCACCTCACGGATACACTGAGCATGGTGAAGGGGCACAATTACTTTATGTACAAAACTTAACAAGCAAAGTCAAAGATAAAGTTGTTTGCAGTTTCCTTCTTCCCAAACGTACAGACATGCACAATGTGTTTATCCCATACCCTCCACGGATATTGCATGCCCACTCGAACTCATCTTATTGGCCCAAAAGGGGATAGCTGGAAGCACCTCAATCACAAGCCTCCTGAGTAGCAGAATTTACATGTCGCGTGCATATTTTTGGATTCTGTGTAGACAAAAAATGTTTGTGAATCAAAACATGAAGATACGTCCGTGCTGGTGGTTCCTACAGAATCAATTCTGCGTCGAAAAAGAACAGGAATGCTCTAGAGTAACATGCAAAAGTTGACTACAAAAGCCCAGGCCAAGAGCCCACGTCAACATTGATCCATGTGAGTCATCATGGGATCGTAAAAACATCAAAGATTACGCCACGAGAAGGCGAACACCACAGTTCTCCCACATGTGCCCAATCCGCAAGTTTCAAATGTGGTGTTCTATTGCGTTCAACCCTGGTTCACACCTGCCTGCATGTGAGGAAACATCAAGATTGGCGTTTGAAAAGTTTACGTAGTTTCGCGTTGAATCTTCAATTCCGAAAACGCACACCTCATCAGACCAGTCCTGAAAGTCATGATCAGCTCTGAAGGCGTCGGGGTTCCATGTAAACTTTAGGGATTTAAGATCCAGCCGTTTTAGCCACAGAGCGATGCAAGCTGCAAGATGAATAGTGCTTGCTGACGTGTCGCACACAATTCAGCACTCTCCCAACCCAGACGTTACCGGACATGCGCGGCCATTTCGGTTTGAGCGGCGGTCAGTAGAGCCGCAATCGATACCGAATCTGCATGCAGATATTGGTGCGGCACCCAGGCGGCCGTCGCCAAATCCCGTGAGTGTCCTGAAATTAGGCGAGCAAGCTTTGCACTTAAACAAGACAAGTGCTTCCCCTCCGTGCCCGCTGGAGATTGACAGTAGATTGGGTATAGGGTTGAAGGCGCAGTGCCCCGGGTTTGACATGCTTCACGTCCAAGGTCATCTGAAGATGAAGAAAGACGTGGCTTGGGCCTCGGTTCGGCAAGATTGATGCGCAGATCTTGTCAACATCCTGCATGTTTGTTTCTTCAGGGACGCTGCTGCTCAATACTCTTCTGCTTCGCAATCACCGTTTGTGCCACGGAGCATTGTGAGGAGGACCTGCATGGGGGGTTCCCGATAAACCTGCACGTTGAACTTCGTCTCTTTGCTTCACGAATCCGCTGCAGGTATCCAGGTGTTTTCACCGATTTAGCCGAGCCGAGCGGAGCCGAGCCGAGCCCATCTAGTCAGTGACCCGTTCGCTTAGAATCCCAAGGGGCTAAACCCCAGTCTTTCGGCTCCGGTTTCTTGGGGAAGTTGTGCGAAGGCATTCTGCTGCATAGACAGAAAATGCAAGCCTCAGACACCGTAGGACCTCGGCACCTGCCCACTTGCCGACTTGCAGCTGCTGCAAGTGAGCCAGGCGGGGGGGCTTGGAACCTCATCAGCTCGTGTCCTAGGAAAAAACCCGGGATTGGAGGCTTGGAAATATTTGCAGCGGTTCTGCAAGCCATCCAACCCTAAAACCCCAACATTTTCAGCTTAAGCCCCTTCACAACCTTGTGAATCCAAAGTGGCTGTGCCAAGATCGCCAGGCACTGGATGTCCCTGCAGAGCATGTAGAAGCTCCGCGGGAAGACCGGCCCCCAGGGAGCGAGGAACGAAACAGCCGAACTCCTGCTGTAGCGCCCCAATGCGCACTTGAGACGTCTTGGGATCTTGGGATGCCTTGGCATCCTTGGCAAACAAAGCGTTTTTTGGGCCTTCAGGGTCGAATCATCAAGAGCCCTGAGGTCCGGGACCTCTTCCAAGCCATTGGCTCCGCAGAAGCTGCGGCTACCTTGCTCCCTGGATCGCCCTGAAAGTTTCAGAGCCTGGAGTTTACTTCGGGATCGCTCAGAGATCTCAGAGCATGACCAGGGCTTTAGGGCCTTGTGCCAGGGTATCATGGAGGGGTGGAGTGTGTAGTGACTGCAGTGTTGGCAAGGGGCTCGTGCTCGCTCGTGTTCAGCTGAGCCCTGGCGATGCAGCCCAGGCAGCCGGGGCTCATCGCAGAGCGAGTGTTCGAGGCCGGGCCCCTCGACCCGGAAGCGTGCTGGGATAACTACAAGGCTTGGCAGCTTATGTATGCTGGTGTAATTCAGTGTGGTGTATGTGTATTTTGTATGTGTGTAGACAAGAAATGGAGGGTTGGCAATGCCCCGGTTTGCAGGAGGGAGGGAAAAGAGCAGGGGAGGGGCTCCTTCATGTCTGCTAGAAGAAGGCGAAAAACGTGCCCAAAGCCTGCCCGCAGAAGAAGAAGAAGAAGAAGAAGAAGAAGAAGAAGAAGAAGAAGAAGAAGAAGAAGAAGAAGAAGAAGAAGAAGAAGAAGAAGAAGAAGAAGAAAGAAGAAGAAGAAGAAGAAGAGAAGAAGAAGAAGAAGAAGAAGAAGAAGAAGAAGAAGAAGAAGAAGAAGAAGAAGAAGAAGAAGAAGAAGAAGAAGAAGAAGAAGAAGAAGAAGAAGAAGAAGAAGAAGAAGCAAAAGCATAATAAGACCATGACAAACAGAGAGGACGAATAATCAATAAAATGTGCGTCCGTCTGTGCTGGTGCCAGGAGCTGTATGTCTCCGCTTCCAAGCAGCACCCGGTGGTGCTAACACAGAAGACCGTCCGGCACCCGGAGTTCTTTGTTGACCCTTCGCCTCCTTGATTCGTGCAGTGCTTGTGCAGTGGGGAGGGTGTGGTATGTAACGGGACATAACGGGACCGAAAGCCAGAAGAACCCCCCCCACTCCAAGTTGCCTGTTCCCAATCAACCCCACCCAGATTTCATTTTGAAAGGCCACAGCTACCGTGGGCACAGAGACCATCTGCATCATCGTGTCCAAGCCTTAGGGATGCCAATGGGCCAGATGTGTATCCCCGATGTGTCCTGCTCGTGTCGGCGCCCTACAATTCAGTCAAATTCAGTCTCTCAGGGGCGCGGTCCTCCTGGCGGTTCTTGTGTGTCTGATCTTCTGCTGCTTCCGACCATCCGTGTCCTACGACGAGGCGGTGCTGCCCTCGGACCTGCTCAGGAAGTGTCGGGTTGAGATCGATTTCAGCTTCACGCCGTGAGCGGCGTGACGCCGAGGCCAACAAGGATGGCTTCCTTCCCGCTGGCGCCTCGACCCTCCAGCGACCGAGGCCCTTTTGGGACTTTTGAGGGGGGACTTCGACATTTTTAGAGGGTTTTGAGGGTTTTGGCTTCACCTTGGCTTGGGGGGCCTCAGGCCTTAGGTTTTAAGGCTTGCGAGTTGAGGCGTTTCAGAGATTTTGGGTTTTGAGGTGGGATTTGGAGTGTCTGTATGTGTGGTTTTGTTGGGAGAAGCGTGGTCATGGCTACAGTTGTGGTCGTTTTGGTGGTGCTGCTCTTGCAGTAATCAAGACCCGAAAGCCAGAAGCGAGCAATATCTCCAAAACCGGCAAGAATGCGCTGGTGCCGAACTAGTCCCCAAACACGTCTTCAACCCAATTGCCAGGGCCAGCAAGGCCGACTGCTGCTGACGCACTTGCACATGTAGAAAAACAACAGTCGCGCCCATCGCGAGCCATGCAAGGGATTGTGACGCTTTCGGGCGAAGCTCTCAACTCCGAATCCTGGAGCCCAAAAACTTCTCAGTTCCAATTCGCATACTGCAAGAAACAGCGATTTGGAAGATTGTGGACTTGAAGGTTAGTGCATGTTGCTGCTTGGCGAAAGGCCTCGCAAGCTCGGATTTGTCGAACCACGACTCTCCTGATGTCTCTGCCCCCTAAGAGGCCTAAGCCCCGATCCTCAAAGAGCCTAAACTCCGGACTCCAAAAGTTCAAGTTTTAAGGGTTTGAGAAGCCGGTTTGGGAAGCCGTTGCGCAACGCCGCTGCCGATCATCAGCCATTGTGCGCAAGTCGCAAGCCCAGAGAACCCAAGTAGCCCCGAACGTGAGATCATCCATCCAATGACCCCAGAGCAGCTGACCCCCGCCCTCCAACCCCGTAAGCGTCCTTGCAGCCCTGAACACCCTTGCGCCTCCTTGCGCGTCCCTGAGCCCACTCCAATCATCTTCAATCTCCTCAACTCCCGACGTTGCAATTCAGCCTGTTTTGGGCCCATGCTCCGGGCCGGCCAAAAAGGGGTGCAACGCCCGGGTGCTCAGCATCTGCGATGGTTGGGTATTGTGAGGGTTGATGGTTCAGGGATGGGTGCTTCGGTTGCGGGTGCTGTTTAAAGCGTGAGGTGTGCGAGGTTTTTCATTGGGGTGCTTTGGGTTAGTTGCTTCGATATGTGCTTCGTATGCCTCTCCAGTTGCTTGATTTGAGGATCCTGAGGTGTCCCCATGCGCACATGGCTGCATCACAGCGCTCGGCGAAGAGTCGAACCAAAATACGAGAAGGGCATATGAAGGGATGAAGAGGGCATCAGGTTCGCATTAAGGGCGTCAAGGGCACGTTGCGGGTAGTATCGGAGGGGCAGGGCATGCTTTTGACGTTTTGGGCACGTGAGGGTTTAGTAAGGTTTAAGTTTAGTGAGCTTAGTGAGGCTGACGGGGTCGTAGGTGAACGGGTGCTTGCAGAAACGTAGGTTTCGATCCAGCCCCAATCTCTGCATGCACTGCGGCTTGATCACTCGAAAGCATGAGAACGCCTCAGCTTCCGCCGCACCGCGTGTTTTGGTTCCACGGGGCTCCACGGGTAACGGGTAGAAGCACTCAGGCTTCCGGCCTTCTGTTCAAGGGATCTGTCTACGCTGATGACCATGTTTCCCAGGCATCGAAGTCTCCGAAACCGCCAGGGGACGTCCCTCGGCAAAAACTTGGACTGTTTTAGTTGGGTTTTAGCTGTTTTAGGTGGCGTCTCAGCTGATTCAAGGCTGGGAGGGTTTAAACGATCCCTAAGAAGTAGGCCGCAGGGACCAAGGTGACCAAAACTTGGTGGCGTGTGGCGTCGAGAGCGTAAATTTAAGCTTCTGTTGGACAGGAGGAAGATGTTAGGGCCACTGGCAGGGACAAGCTTCACACCAACGCCAGCATTCTGCGCTCGCAATTTTAGTCACTGTGGATGTGGAAGTCCCAGAGCCATCCTTGCCATGTTGAAAAGAAGCTGAAGTGGCGCTTATTACCCGCCGAGCTGGGCTGTCGAACTGCTTTGGATTACAAGTGGTGAAACAATGCATCGCGTGTGGGTGTGTTGGGGGGTGTGGGTGAGAGAGGCGAGATGGCAGGACATCTTTTTTGTTTGAAAAGTGTTTTTGCAGGGTGTGCAGCTTCCATGGTTTGCTTTTGGGGAAATTGGCTGTGGCAGCCCGACTCTAGAACCTGAAGCCCAAAGCCCAAAGCAGCCCTCAAGCCCATGTGCTTGGAATGCTTTGGAACTCTTGGATGTGCTCTTGATTCCCAAACCCCGAGAAGCCGACCTTGCGTACCCAGGGCCGCTGTGCGGGGCTCGGATGAGAGAAAGGGGGCCGTTGAGACCTGATGCCTTGAGTGCCTTGAGTGAATTGAGTGCCTTGAGTGCTTTGCTTTGAGTGCTTCGCGTGCCTCGTTTCGTTTGGGGTTGGGGTGCCCGAGGTTTCAGGGTGAGGCCGTCAGGTGATGGGCCGCGAAAGTCCAGAAGAGCATATTCAGCATACTTTAAACCCTAGCTCAGCTTCATTCCCGGGACATAAAGCCCCAAATACAAGCCCTTCAAGAGTACCTGTGGCCCAGGACGCAGAGCTCTCTCGGCCCAGCGAAGGCCTGCGCAACATGGCACAAATCCCAGCGCTGTTTCAACGAGGACTTCGACAGTAAATTGAGTCGCTGAGAAGGGGGGTCTGGGAACCTAGCGAGTCGCAGCAAGTCGTGTGGTTCGGGATGAGGAACTCGCGGTTGACAATCTGCAGGAAAGGGTGTGTAAACTGCCTGTGTAGTGGGACGCTAGGACCGTGCGTGAGGGAGGTTTTGGAGACAGAAGTTGCCTCCAGAAGTGGAAAGTGTGGGGAAAGCTGCTCACAGCAGCATGCTTCTCAAGCTGAAAGAAGTTCAGCGACGGTTCACGGGAGATTTAGATTCCTCCGAACGGACCAGTGCAAAGATAGCAACATAAGAACTTCCACATGGGACAGGCCCAGTGCCTGCACACACTGTTAGCATTCGCTGGTCGCGAGTGGCTGCCATGGGCGACGACCGCAGGAGCGGTGTCTCGAATGACCCGATAGCCTACGATCCGGAAATCGAAGCTTCCGTCGAGGCGGCACTGCGCGGTCTCTTTCTCAATCCGTGGGTGGCAGCCCGGATATCATCGGCACCCGAGGGCGTGGAGGGCATGAGCCTATCAGATCTCGAAGAGGTCATCTTGGACAGAGTGGCCGAGTTAAGAGTGCTTGTACGACATCGAGAGCAGCGTAGGAACCCCCAAATCACCCTCAACATGCTTCTTCCATCAGGCCGATCCTTCCCGCATGCTGTGAGACTGAGGAGCCGCATTGACAAAGTTTGCTGGGAACTTACGTGCAGCGAAGAGCTCCGTGCTTTCCAGGACAATTGTGTAAAGCTCCTCCTCGGTACACTCGAACTGGAATGGCACCGGGCCATCGGGGACTACGAGGTGGCTGATGGAGACAGCGTGACTGTTGTTTTGACGTCGCGTGCAGCCGATGCCGATCCTTTTGAAGGCTGAGGCTCTTCCAGCTTCTTGACCCAGGACGCTGGCGGTGGTGCGCAAAGTGGCCCAAAGCAGATCACCAAGGCGTGCCCGAAGCGCCGGACCGAATCCAACAGGACCCGCACAAAGTTGGCTGAGCTTCTGTGAGCTGCTACATTTGGTGGCCAGGGCTTCAATGGACAACCCTCTCCGCTTACCCGGAGCGCTGCACACCAAAGCACCGAGAAAACAACCATCAGAAGACACCAAGCCGCAAAGCCCCGAAAACCTAAACTGACCTAAACCATGATCTTTGGTTGCGGCTTGCGCCTGGCAGGCGTCGCCGGGCCTTCTGACATTCCGATCCGTGGCCGAAAAGGCCTGGACGTTGCACTCAAGTGTCTTCGGCTCAGTTAATGTATTTCAACGTTTGAGCAACGCTCAGCCAGCCTTGAATCCCTTTGCAATTGTTAGGATTGTGATTCTGCAAAGGGCGCGTGCGCGCGGGGCATCGATGTGCCAACACGCAGCGAAATTGCGTACTGAAACCTGGGGCCAGTTTCGTGTTCCTAGCAAAACGCTTCTGTGACGCCATCGGCCCAAGCCGTGTATTGTTTCACCCCGATGATGCAGTCGCTTTACAGGCCCAAAGTCCTTCATGAATCTTGATGTTTCTGAATTGCCTCTCGGTCTCGCGTCTTAGATGGATCGTGTTTGAGAAAGAGTCCGTCTTGGATTGATTGTTCCTGGCACGTGGTTTTTCTCATCGTGGTTCTTGGTGAGTGGTCTGAGGTCATGCTGGGTGGCTTGTTACGCCTGGGTACGGCATGTGGGCAGCCGATTGGCGAACTCTCACAGTTCTTGTGTGTGAACCACCCTTGCTCATGCGTGCAGGGGTCACGCCCATTGCTGTTATCCAGAAATCAGTGTCGTGATTTGAAGGGGGGACCCCAGGAAAACATGCCTGCGTATCAGTGTTTCGGGGTTTTGGAGATCAGCTAGCCTGACATCATCTCATTCTCACCATCACCAAGCCATCACCTCATTTTCGAGCTGTATCATTCCTTTGGTCTGATACTGCCGGGACCGATTCCCCGGTGAGGGATTGTGTTTGTTTCATATTTTCGCCAGCAACCTACTGTCAGGCCATGCCAAGTACCGTCATCAGCGTGTTCAGCAGTCACGTGTCTCTGTGTGTGTGTGTGTGTGCGTGTCCTACTCTCGAAGCACAGCTCAACAAATATCTGTATGTAGAAATGAAGTTATATAAGCAAATCAAGCAAAAGGTTTTCTACATAAGTACATAGTACAAATAGCTATGACTGGGTAAACACATATATAGTAAACATATGCATACATGTGACTGAGCAGAAAGAATAAGTAAATGTAAATCTAAAATAATATGTGTATGTATATATGTATAACAAGATAAACACAAAGATATCAATGTTCATATAAACGCGTGACCAACCCGACAAGCAAGCATGGAGGGTCGACGGCAACGACAAGACCTGAAGAAACGGCACTTCCAAGGAGCACAAACGCCAAGCTTCAGAAGCTGTGTCGATCACCTGAAGCATTAGCCCAAGGAGCGCCTGTAACCCGAAAGGCCCAAAGCCCCAAACACCTCAGTTCGGCACGGCGGGAAGGCTCCAGCTCCTGCGCCGCCAAGCGCGGAGGTGATTGACGAAGATGAGGCCAAAGCCAACACTCCACATCCGTCAACCCCCAAACCTTGGGGCGCCGATGATTGCCTTGAAAGCCGGAGCCTCAAGCCCGCTGTCGGTGCCTCATCAGGACGTGCTGGAAAACAAAGACTGGCGGGCCTGCTTCGAGGAGAAGTGGGCTGCCGTCGGGGCCCCCAGCGCATGCGATTTCGGAGCTTAGAAGTTTAGCAGCCCGAAGCCAGGTTGCCGATTGCCGAAGCCAAGTTGCCGAGCTGAGGCCATGGCGGAGATTGATGGAGAGGACGCCGTGGTTGAGGTGGCGCTGTGCTGAACCCTAACAAACAACCCGTAAACTGTTACCCCGGAATTTACATGTGAAAGTTTGACTGAGCTTGAGGACCTATCGGCAAACCCTGCCACAATCCTCATCTTTCAGCCCTAAACGCTCAACTCTTGGCCAGGTCTCTCGGCCTGGCGCCCGCCGGCAAGGCACAACCCTAAAGGGGTTTCAAGAGATTTGGCTTGAGAGGGTTCACTTGGTTTTGAGTTTCGAAGCTTCTGGTCGGCCCTGGTCTAAGCTTTCTGTTGTGTATGATGTCATTCATGGGTGTGTGTCCAGGTTTTTAGGATTGGGCCCCTGCCAGGCACCGGCGAGCCGCCCCAGGTGCCGGCTTGGGCTGCATTTGGGCTCGGAATGAATGAATGTCTGTGTGTGTGAGTGAGTGTGTGTGAGTGTCAGTGTGTCTTTCGGTGCAAGGGGGGCGTGGGTTCAGAGGACATTCTGCTTTGGGGTACAGCTTGACTACTTTTTTGACTTGACTCCATGTGCTTACTGGAAGCGCCCTGTATGGAAGCCTGCAAACCCCGACACAAGCCCCACATCAGCTGCCTTTTAGCACCCTTGTCCCCGGATCCTCATGTGACGATGTGCATCCACGTGCGCCGGTATCCTTGCCAGAAGCGGCGCCGAGAGAGCACACCGCCAGCTGCTTCGGAGCTCTCGCCGGGAGGGTTTAAGGATATGGATGTGAGCCTTTAATGCCCTTTAAAGCCCCCCCAAAGCACCTCTTGACATGCTGAAGACCCCGCATCGGCAACTTAACCTTGGTCGCAAACCCTCGCAGCCCACGCCGTTGCGTGTCAGTCTAACAGCCGTTGTCCATCAGTCTCGCCGTATTCTGTCGCATTGTCCCGGCTCGAGCACGTGTGGCTTTGAAATTTTGAACCTAAGTTTGCAATCCGTCTGATCATGTGAGGTGCTGCGAACTCCATTGTTAAGATGCCGTGATGGCCCTAAACCGCAAGCTGAGATCACAGTACTACCCGACCCACCAGAATGTCCGCACAGGGCACAGATCACAGACGCACCACTGGACCTCCCAGCAACAACAGCGCTAACGGCTTGAAAGACACACTTTTTGCCCGAGCCGGCAAAGAATCAACCGAGACTAGCTTCCTGCCCGGCCACCCTCGAACCGTGTTGTCGCCAGGGTCCCCAGAAACAGTGGGCTCTTCCCAGCTTCCGGGTGCCAGCTACAGTAGCTGGCAGCAGCAGTTGCAGTCCACTGTGCCTCAGAGCGGTTTTGAGGGCTGAAACAAAAAGCCCCCTCCCTCACCAAGGCCATGGTCGAGTTCTTAGCGACGTTCGGCGCTGCCGCCAAGGACTTTTGGGAAGCACTGGCAGATCCGCAATGCACTTCTTGCCTTGCAGCCCTTGGGCAGCGGTGTCCGGAATCGGAGGGCTGGCCTTAAAAAAGTGGGGTTGTGTGGGCACAGATAAGCACTGCCGCGGTGAAGGTTTCGTGCTAGAGGCTTCAGAGTATTCGGGTGGCCGTGAGTGCAGGAGCTCTTCGACTACAACCGTGAGATGTACGAGTTTGATCAGGAGGGGCCTCGGCTGTGTTGCTGTGTGGTGTTTGCGCCCCGAGTGTCAAGGCGTGGGTCCTGTGAACTCTAGCCACCTTACAGGCTGAGAAGATTCTAGCATTTCAAGCTTTTCAAGCCGAGGCTCCTTTGTGCTTGCAGCGGCATTTTAGTTACAAAGAGCCTCAGAGCCACGTCTCCCATGCCCCGCTGGCAGCGCAGGGTCTGCGGAGCTTCCGTGGCATTGCTTGGTGGGCTTGGGTTGCCTGGTTTTCCGTGGAGCTTCAGTGGACTCAGTGGACCCACTGCAAACCCAACACCGGCTCGTAACATCGCGCTCGGTTTGGAGGCGAGGCATCCCGAAGAGTTGGTAGCGGAGGAGTGGGAGGAGTGGGAGGAGTCGGAGGAGTCGGAGGAGTCGGATGGGGAGTTCGAGGAGCCGGAGTTGCCGACATTTGCGGAGAGGAAGTGGTCGGCTCCCCCACAGACCTGGCCGAACGAGGCGGCTGCGCTCTTCGTACCTCTGGGACCCCACACTGCGGCCACGCGCTTCGTGGGGGAGGCGCCGGTGGCCTCCTGGTTCCCGGCCACGCTGTACAACGTGCTCTGCGAACTGCCTGTGAACGAGTTCGATCTGCAGGCTTGGCTCTACCCCAAGGGTTCCCATCTCTTCACGGCCCGGCAGCTGCAGAGACTGCTTGAGGCGACTGGTGTAACATGCCTGGGCCGGGTGCTGGATGTGGGAGCAGGCGACGGCTGCCACACTGCGGTGCTTCGTGCGGTCAGCCAGAGTGTGGTGGCCGCTGAGACCTCCCGCGGCATGGCCTGGCATCTGGAGCGGGAGGGTTACGAGGTGTGGTGCGAGGACGTTTCTGAAACCTTCGCTGAGCGAGCAGCGGACTTGGCACGCAGAAAGCTCCCTCTCTTCTCGCTGGTGTCGGTTCTGAACGTGCTGGACCGGTGCGCCGCCCCTCGAAAACTGTGCTCAGCTGCGGCTGCACTGCTGGAGCCTGGCGGTTTCTTGCTTTTAGCCAGCCCCCTCCCTTTTTCCGCTTCGTATTACGGCCCCGAGACTGGCTGGAACGGGCAGCCCCTCGCGGGTCTCGAGGACTTGGGCTTTGGCAAGGAAGGTGAGGACGCCTGGGCCAGGGATGGGCTCACGATGATCCAGGACTTCCTCCCCAGCTGCGGGTTCCAGGTGGAAGCAGTGAGTAGATTGCCTTACCTATCGGGCGGTGACGTTCTGGATGGTGGCTGTATTGAGTTGGATGACATTCTTGTGCTGGCACGCAAGACATAGCCACAGCGTGAGCTCCGCATGGGAAAGGGGCGGGTGGGCACCTTCTGCAGGGCTCGAAGCTCCAGTTATGGCGCTTCGGAAGAAACAGCGGTTGCGACGAACACGATGAGATTTCCTGGAATAATCGCGGTGAGAAAACTTTGTTTGACGTTGTATCAAAAGCGTCAATCTGGCATGGCCAAAGAGCGAGTGCATGCGAGCGCACAAGCGTTCCTGATGCAGGGGGCGCGGAGAGACGCGGAGAATCGTGGAGTGTCCACCTTGAGCCTGCAACCGCGGCTGCGATGCGAAAGGGTGAAGATGGGACAAGGGCGGTCGAGGGCAAGCTGAGGGCGCACAGGTGCGTGGCAAAACTGCTGGCACGTGCCCTTCAAATTTCCTTATGCCACTATGCCATTACACCGCTCTGCTTTAGGTTAAACTCTGTGGAGCCCCATGGAGCCCCATGCAGCCCCATATATCATGTTTAGTCAATGGCGCAACAGAGAATCAAAGCTTCTGGCCCTGCAGGGACAGCGGCTTGACCGAGAGTTGCCTGTGGCCCAGTATTAGAGGCAGAAAGAGGCAGAGAGGGCGCTGGGGACTCTATTGGCTTCCTGGTGACGTTGCCGGGAATGGCTGGGTTTTTTTTGGGGAAGCGCGAAAGGACCGCAGACGGCTTCCACTGAGCCGCTGAGGCTGCGCCTGGAGATGCAGATCAAGCGCTTCCAGCTCTTCCGGGAGGCACCTGTCCCCCCCACATGTCCGTCTCAACACGAGCTCCCCAAAAGATGTCTTTAACCTTAGGATGTCCGTGACCTCGTGGAGCTGACGGTGGGCAAGATGGAGATGTGACCTGTTCGTTAGGGTTTTTGTTTTTTTTTGTTCTTGGTTTTGGAGTTCAGGGGCTCTCAGCCGGCCCATGATCTGGGTTTGGTCACCGGGATGCCATGATGGGACGAGGCTTTCCTACAGCCGTTACGTGTTTGGGGGGAGGTACCACGTTGTGGGGGCGCTTGTGCTGGAATGCACAGTCATCTACTACACGGAGGGCCGCATCCGGGCCGTGTGCCCAAGTCACGGGGGTGTGGACCGGATGTTCGTTTATGGGATGCTTACCTGGCTTCTTGATCACGGAGATGCTACGGAGAGTAACGTGTCTTGTGAACTTGTGCACAGGCCCAAGATGGCCCGAGCTTGCAACCAAGCCGCGCGTGCAACCCCCCCAAGACCCGCCCAGACCCACCCAGACCCACTCAGAGCCGCTCAGACCCGCTGCCAGACAGACTCTTGGACACAAGCCCCTGTGCCCAGACCTCGTCACCGCCATTTCTGCTGGGCCTCTACTGGCTCTCGGTGGGGTCCTTGGAATGCCACTTCGAAGGGATGAGACGAAGTCCGAACAGACCCAATCATGAAGACACTTTATCTAGCAGGCTTCAGACCCAAATGCAACAGAAAAGCCCAAGACCGCCGCAGGCAGCAGGCACCTTCATCTACGTGCTGCTGTGCGTGTGGCCCAACCCTCAGAGGTGAGCGATGGCGAGGGCCTCTCGGGATGTTTTTTGGGCCACGTAATGGAAATCCAGTGAGTGGTGAGCTTTTCCAATTAGAGGGTGGTAGTGCCTCGGTTTCAGGGCCCTTGTGCATGAGAGCACGCGTTGAGTCGAGATGTTGGCCTCCCTGCCCGTTGCCCCAAACCCTGAAAACAAACTTCAGCCCCAAACTTCCCGGCATCCCAGCAAACTTCTCAGGTTCAGCATGTACGCGTCCATCTCCTCTCACAGTTTCGGGGCCGCTGGGCAGCCACTCCAGGAATTGCTCATGTGGGTTCTTGGGGGCATTTGAGCTGTCGAGCCCTTCTAGGGGGGAATGTGGCGGTCTTCAGGTTTTTTTTCGCATTGCTTTGATGGGTTTGCTTCGGTTCGTGTTGTTTGTGTTGTGGGGGTTGCTCGAGTGGAATGCTCACTGTTTTTGGCTGCGAAGATTGAAATTCTGGCAGCTTCAAAAACAGGAGCCTCAAACCCTGGGGCGGAAGCCCTATGATTCCATCCCAGCCTCTCGTCCTGCTCCTCTTCCCAGGTCCGGCTGCTCACGCGCTTCGTGCGTCTACCCATCCCGGGAAGCCAGCAGCACGGGGCCGAGAGGGGCTTCGAGCGATGTCGAAGGGTCGATACGAGCTGCTTCACTGGTCTTTTCCTGGGCCTTGGGTGATGTTTTGCGGCTAGTTGCATAAGTTCATGTATAGGGTGCCATGCGGCACTCAGGGCATGTCGCTGCATACGAGGCTTGTGAGGCCAGACTGAAAGCCACAGATCCCAAGCCCAACGAAGACACAAAGGAACCCCTCCCAGGATCAATGCGCTGAATGCCCGACTTACCGACTTCGAGCGCGCCCTGGGTCGCAACGAACAGTATTTTTTTGGGGCTATTTGGAGGCCTGAATTGAGGCTCAGCAGCTGGAGGGCTGCTGGGAGTGACATATTGAGCCTGAAGCAACGCACATCCAAACAACCCCCTGCGCCAAGGGCAGGGCAAGAAGATCATGCGCATCCCCTTCTCCCGGGACGTGCCGCAGTGGCAGCAGCGAAGGCTTCTGAGCAGGTGTTCACAGCAGAACCAATGATTGTGGCAAGGATCAAGCTCAACATAGACATGTCCTTCGTCACCGAAAGTCTCATCAACGAAAGATTTGTCAATAATATGAAAAATGGCAAGAATCTCAATAGTTTCAAGAGCATCAATGATGTCGACGATACCACAACATCCGTGACAACAGTTGACTCTCACCACTGTGGAACTTGGCAGGGACCTCAAGGACCAGCCGGACCCACGGCTGGGGAAGGGTGAGGTGCCGCAAGGGCCGAGTTTTCAGGAGGTTTTGGAGGGGTCGGCTTTTTTTTAGCCTGAGTCTTGGGGTGTGAGAGCAGGTCCTTTAAACTCCAGACTCTGAATCGCGCTTTGAAGTTCAAATTCGAAGAACCGTGCAGTCCTGTCAGTGCTGCTGCTGTGGGCTAGGGCCGCTAGGTTATCCAGATTGCAACGCAAGTTGGAAAGATGGAAGCACGTTGCAGGGAGACGAGAACTTTTTGACCGCTGTCGTCAAGCCCGGGGCAATGAAGCAGCAGGCCGGTAGATGCTCAACACCGTCGGTGGGCTGGCGGTGTGAAAACTGTTGTAGAAAGATGAGGAGTGAAAGCTTAGGCCGAATCTCTGAGGCACCTTTTTCCCGATCCCGACGGGGATTCATAGAGGTAGCAGGCAAGTAGAGTCTCCTGTCATGGGCCCATCGCGTTTGATTCCCGTTTACAACTCTCCAAAACACTGACACCTCACAACCTTATCCCGTCAAACCTCAGCGCTCTACATTGAATAGTCTATAGCCCTCAGCTCAGTAGCCTTTAATGATTGAGCAGCAAGACAGAACCGGTTTATGTATAAATGAGATATGCAAACTTAGCTAAGTTTCACTTGTGGTGAATCGTATCTAACGAATTGTACATGGGAACTGTCCAATCTTCGACCCCAGCCTCTCCACATGTCACCTTCCCAGCAGGACCTGCTGGAGGAGGGCGTGCAGGCGCATGAGTAGCATTGACGCACGGCCAAGATCAATTTTCGGATTCAACAGCCCTGATGGGTTGCAGCAGGCTTTGTTCAAGGAAGGCGAATCTTCTCACGAGCCTTTGCAAACATGCGTTTCAAAACCTGAGGCCCTTCTGTCCCGCGAAGTGGCTTCGGCCCCAATTGGGTTTAGAAGCCTTCAACGCCAGACTGAAGCCGTGGGCTTTCGCTATGACGTATTCTGGGACAGCTACCCCTGACTGACATCCCCATCCTACGCTCTAGACCGGAGGGTTACGTGGCGGTGCCGAATCCTCGAAGCCTCTAAAGCCCTTAGAAGCTCTGCATGCAGCCATACTGACGCCATAAACCTCCCGAGATTGTCAGAGATTCGGCAGGCTTACCAGGACGATGAAGTCGGGCTCCAGCAGGTCGCCTTTTGGGCTTTGGGATGCTTCGGGGCATGAGGGCTTAGGCTTAGGCTTGGGGGATGCAGGGCATCCACAACTTAGAAGCCTGTGGGTTGTGGAGGTGCAGGTGTGAGCATTTGGACCCTCCATAGCCCCGCTTGAATCCCATCACCCGCAGCAAAACGCCACTCTCCACTCAGCTTTCTTCCACGGCGAGGCTGCACAGAACCTGCCTGGAAAGCATGTCCGACTCTTCCGGGAGCTCCTTGGAGGGTTTGGAGGGCTTGAAGGGCTGGGGGATGTTTGGAGGCTAGCAGGTTCCATCGGGCCTTGTGGGGTGTGTGCTTTTTATGGAAGCGCAGCTGAGGCTACAGGCGAAGTGGCAGTGCTATGACGCCTACGCACGCGTCGGGAACTCCAGCGATTGTATGCAGGGAGCTCCGGGTCGAAGGTTTCGGCTTCGGTCTCAAGGCATTCTTAGAGGCTTAAGGGGTTGAGGGCCAATCATGTCCGGTACTTCCTGAGCTAGTTTCTGGTGCGCCACGACGTGCCCATTGTTGGCCTTGCCACCGCCATGTTAAGTTTGCCAACGTTGCTGAGGTGTCCATGTCCCTTGGTGTGAATCACATCTGCATGACGATGTCGTACTATGTGATCGGTGCAGACCTCAGTCCTCTTCCAGGTCACTTCCGTGTGCGAGCCCGCAGTTGCAAGGCCTTACGGTCCTGGAATACCGCTCGCCAAGATCTGAGAGTGTCGCAAACTTCAGAAGCCTTCGATATTCAGGAACGTCCGCCAAGCTTCCCATAGCAGCTGCACTGCTTCGAATTTGGCAACCAGCAATGGCTTTCGCCATGGGGGGGGGGGGGAACAAACCAAGCCTTGTGGGGTCGGGTTGTAGCCCAGGCCATCGATCATGTTCGCCTTGGTGCTGGTCTTCCAGCAACTCGTCTGGAAGAGCGTGAACGAGGGGTTTGAACGAGGGGTTCCTAAGGGCCATTGTGGGGCTTGGATTTGGGATGCAAGCGGAGCGCGAATTTTATCGGTCAGGCGGGTTCCCGTACTCGCTTTTCGGCACCATTCGGTAAGGAGCATTAAGACATTGAACTTCTTGAACGTCTTCAGCCATCCAATGATCCAACGGCCCAAGGGCCACGAATCTCGCTCTAGCCTGGCTGGACGTGGCTGGCCCAAGCCCCGGAGGCTTGGATTCTTCTCCGACCCTTGCAAGCGGGTGCTTGCCTTTTGTGCTTCCTTTCCCTTTCTGTTTCAGCAAACTATAGAGATCTCCAGAGATCTGCGGCTATGAGCGTTGAGGCAACTGCACCCAACTCTCGAAGCCCTCAATGCTGGGACTTAGCTTAGGCCTCAAGAGAAAGACCATCTCGTCTCTGGAGCTCCTGGGATCCGTGCCAGGGCCTCAGGCAGAGCACAGCATAGCGTCATCAAGCTGCGGAGCCTCAATGAAGAAGCCCAGAGAACCCGCCCAGTGCACTGGAGCCAGCCTCAGGATCTCAGAGCCCAGAAGCACCTTCAAACCCATGTCCTGAACCAAGGCCCCCCTTCATCACCTGCATCTCCATGGCCGGGGCTCCTGTATCCGGGTTGAGGGTTTGGGGGCGACCGATAAGCTCGGAAGTCCTAGGTCAAGTTCGCTCGGGAGCCCATAAATTCTCGAGGTTTCCAAATGTAGGTGGAGTTACGTGTGGGGCTTCTGTTGAAACGTCTCCTCAGAGGTTCCTACACAATAGGAGCCCTTATCAAGGAGGACCCCACTTCAGAACGCAGCCCAAGCTTCCGTTCCTGCATGCTGAAGGTGAGCGCGCCATACCTCGAGGGAGGGTGCGGTCCTTTGTTCTTGCGCTCTCGTTGTGCGTAGCTGCTTCAGACAGATGCTTGGCATGTCCGCTCCCTCCGAGAATCATGAACATCAAAGTCTCTGTCGCTACTAACTTCCCTTGAGTACCATGCAAGCATATGCAAGCCTCAGAAGAAGTTTTGTGCCAGTCCGAACGCGCTCCCGCACATCATCATAATCTAATCACGTCATCTAGTTACGTGGTTGTCGGCTTTTTACTTTGGATGTTAGAAGACAGTCGATGCAAGTCCTGGAAATGGGCACCGCACCATACCGAGCCCTAAACTCGAAGACCCAAAACCCACTAACAGAAGTTTGGGGGGGTCGGAACGCAAGAAACACCTTTTAAACTCAGTGTCCTGTCCGCTCTGAGGCGCGGTCAGTTCGATCCAAACCACGAGTTCGTCCTTGGCTGCGTGGCCTTCTTCATCACCGCGATCTGGCCTGGGGCCCCGGGATCCTGGCGCAAAACGCGACTGTTTCTCTGCACTAGGAGAGGCTGCCAGCTTGCGGCTTCAAGCCTCGAAGCTCCCTAAACTGCACCCACAGTGGACTCGGTGGTCTCAGTAGACTTGCTCGACCCCAAGTAGACCCCGAGTAGACCCCGATATCGAACCTCAGCTGCCGCAACGAGGCTGGAGGGTCTACTCCACCTTGCTTGGCCCGCGGCCCAAAGACCTGTTGCCGGTTCGAGTTCGTGCCATAGGGATTGGGGGCCGGCTCGCAACCTGCAAGTAGGGTGAACCTTTGCGTTTAACATTCAGGCCTCCAGATTCCGAGTCCAACCTACAGTAGGGTGGGATGCAACTGAGCTTCACTGACACCGCTCCGATTGCAAGCCCATGCCCCGCCTCCAGAGCCCCAGAGCCCCAGAGCCCTGGAGAAGATGGGAAAACCCAGTTGTTCTTGTTAACGTAAACAACTCGTAGGGTCGACGGTGCGGTGCGACCCCTAGAAACTCTGCAAGCGCCCCCCTTCTTTGTCTATCGCCCAAAGAAAGCCCCCTCTGCAAGCAGCCCCCAGCGGGAGGCCGAGCGCGGACCTGGTGATGCTCCCCAAGCCGGGGCCCCAAACTCCAACACACAGGCAGAGCAAGAAAGACACAGCAAGTAGAACAACAAGTTGAAAATTGAACATAATGTTGTCAGCGAAACACTCACCGTATTACCGTATATGATGATATATACATTTGTGATATATTACAGAAGATAGTGCATAAGACACGCTCCATCCCAGCATCCCAGCTCCTTTTCTGGACATCCTGGGCATTCGAAGTTACCCCCCGGCCGCCCCTAGGCGTTTCCGATCCGTGCTCTTCCTGGACGCCTGGGATCCCGGAGCCGTTTATTTGGGAACGTGCCTAAACCCAACACCGCAAACCCCAAACCCCAAACCCCAAGGGCATCTTCTAAGGAGTTGCGAGCTGAGGAATGCAGGTGTGAAGGGGGGTGGGATGAGTCTCAGCTAGGGTGCAAGGAAGTGCAGGGCTTAGGGTTTGGAGTGGGGGGCCGATTTCCCATCGGCAACAGGTCTTCGGCGTGGCAGATGACATCAAGCAGGAGGTGAGCCTGCGGCAATCTCCGCTCCAGCCTTGAACATAGGAGTTCTCCAAGCTCCAATCCCCCAAATCCCTAAATATGGTCTGTTGGCTGAGGTTTCGGATGGCGTCGGATGGTTTGTCTAGAGATCACATTGACAGGACCCTGTTCGCGGCTTACTCTGCAATGCTCTTGGGTTAGACCCAGCCAGGCGCACCACTCGCAGCAAGAGGACGAGCGTTCGGCTCCTGGATCGGGGAACTTGCGCATTTTCGCATTGTCCAGGGGCATCTTGAGGGGGCACTAAGAGGGCCCCTCGACTCATCTCGGAGCCCATAGACACCAATGTTCCAAGCGCTTGCAACGCCCGAGATCGCCCGAGACTCCACCCGTTGAAGCCAAAAGAGAAGATCGAAGCCCCACCCCTTACATGCTCAGCCCTTCAAGGCTCCCCGATCCACGAGATCTCCAGGGAGGAAGCAGCCGATGCCCCAGTGCAGTGGTGGTAGATTTAGTTCGGGCGGCTGGGGTTTGGACAGCGGCTGCTTCGCTAATGTTGTTTTTTCCCGACTTGAGGCTTTTCTTGAAGGCTGCATCGGCCATCCTTTCGCATCTTCTGGCCCACTTCATTGCAACAGATATGCCATTAGGGGCCACCATAGTACCAAGCTGTGTGCACACATGCATGCAAGCGCGTGCGTAAGCGCGTGCGTGCGTGCGTGAGAGTGGGAAAATCGAGAAATGCTACTAAATGGTAGAAGCATCAGCATTCCCGCGAAACTGTCTTCCCATTAGCCCCGAGGCCTTAGATCCTAGACGAAGTATCCCCCCAAGGCATACATGTAAAGGCCTGAAGCCCAGCTCCCTGAACCCCCAGGAAGCTGCGGACACCGCCGTGTCGGACGCGGAGGTGCCATGAGGGCTCGAGGTCTCACGGGAGCATACGGGAGCTTGGGAAGCTTCAAACAAGCCAGAGACCTCTAGGGCTTGTGACTTTTGTGACTTTTGTGCGGCTTTGCGGTCAGTGGCTGCTGAGTTGTGTCACGTGGCAGGCGGCGGTGCGCCGGTGGGCGGAGCTGCCAGACGGCACAGTGGAGGAGAAGGACATAAAGGCGCCTCTGCTGATGTCCCCCAATGCCCAATGCACACAGCCACCCGAGCGCCAACAAAGTTTTTGGGCTTCTGTGGAGCCCTAAGTTGCACACCAGCTGAAGCAGTTTCATAGGCGTGTTTGGTTTATTGGTTCAGAGCAGCGCAGCATTGAACCCATAAGCCATGGGGCACCACGCAAGGAGACGTTGGAGTCTCTCCGATCCAAGGTCTTGATGTGGCGCAAGGCGGGTGTAAGTGCCAAAGACTCGATCGCCGCTTCATCCTCGCAGTTCCTGGTGCAGGTCTTGAATGGCGAGGCGGCAAGGAGAGCCAGCGCACGAGGAGACACGGCGGATTTAGATGTGCGAGGTCCTGAGGTGTAGGGGTCTGCTGAGTCTGCTGTGCTCCTCGACATGCCGTGATTCGGCCCAAGCGAGTAGCCGGCCGAGGCTGCGACCAGACACCCGGACCTGGGGGGAGCTCACAGAGCAGCTCGGCCATCTTTAAGGTATCACCAAGCATTCCCATTCTTGCATCTGAGGGTTTGAGGCTCCAGGGTCGTAGATGGACCGGATACTACCAATCATGTCCCGACACAATGGCCAAACATGTGCAAACTGTCGCGGCCTTTTCCTGAGCTCCCCCCCATCTGACGACCCGAAAAGGTTGTGAAAGCCCTCAAAAGCACTGCAAGAATCACCCGAAGTCCTACATGCCCCTAACTTGCAGGGAGGAGCAGGAGGAGGATCCCTTCAGGGGATCCCTCCTTGGACCGTTCCAACAGCAGAACAATGCCTGGGGCCTGGATACTGTTCCCGCTCCGAGTGTCGGTTTCCTATGTGTTGTTTCCGAGTGTGGGGGTTCGTCAAGCTTGACCCCTGCATCCCCTGCATCGGCAACCCCCAGATTTAAGCCTCATTCTCGAATCCCGGGTCCCCGAGAGCGTCAGGTGTACTACTACGACCTGGAGCTGCAAGAGTTCGCCGAGCACTGTGTGGGAGGGACGAGGGGGAGGAGAGGGTGCAGATGGGGAGAGAAGTTGCAGCCTTGCTTTTGAGTCCTTTTGGAGGGCGCTCTACAGGGCTTGCAAGAAGCCACGCCCTGCTTAAAGCCTCCCCTCCAGTCCTTAAAATGCATCTCGGCGGTTGCAATCGATCTTTTCGTGGCGCATGAGCCAAAAACCCACAATCAGTTGGCATGTTGTTTGCCGCAGCTGGCTGGTGTGCTCTTCCATGGTCCTCTTCTCCGCTTGATTCTTTCAGCCCTCGGACCGGAGGTGATGCCGTGCTCTTTAGGCCCGGTCTTTGGGTCTTGGTTGTCCCTCCAATACAATCAAGACAATCCAGTCCACTCCAATGCATCTCGCCCCTCCAGCCCCGAACCGAGGCCTGGCAGCCCCGCGAGGGCCAGGGCGTGCTGACATTGCAGCAGGCTGGATTTGGCGATGTCTTAGCGGGCTCCCTGCCTCAAGACCATGTGTTCAATGGAGGTTTTCTTTTTTCATAGTCATTAACATCTGTTTCCAAACCGAAGCCGCCATGGCCACACTCCTCCACCAGACATCCTGCTGTCGGATGAAGTGGGCAAGAGGATCGAGAGAACTGCAGACATGCTGATGCGGAAGTAGCTTTCTCAGTGCTGCTAATCAGTCTCCACTTTGTCCGTGCTAAGCACTTGCCCTCACCCACGCCCTTGGACATTTCAACTCACTGAGATTCTGCGCAGGCAAGCGCTGCAATCAGGATTGGACAGACACACACATGAACAACCAGGAATCAAACACTGGCAAACATCAAGCCAAAACGCCACCGGGCAGGTGCGGTCGCTGGTCGACGATGCCGAAACACGAGTCCGGGAGCTCTTCCCCGGAAGGCCGGAAAAGGGGCATTTGTTTGGTCGGAGTTTTTGGATGTTCATTCAAAGGACATGTTTGCTTGGAAAGCTTCGCCTGCCAACTTCCAACATCCTCAACCCTGACGGATCGACTGATCGACACACCAGATCGCAAACCAACTTCTCTGTGTCTGGAAAGTGTTTTTTTGGGTTTTTCTTTTTACGGACTGTTTTGTTTGTTCTGCTTCTTCCTCGTTTCTGAAAGCTTTGAGGAGTAAGTCAGGTGCCAAAGTCCTTTTTGAACCCCAAATCCCATCAAAAAAAGCACCAACAACTCAAAAGCCGACATCCCAGCCAGGAATGATTTCCAGCCCCCCAAGCTGGCAGAGATGAGCGAGGGTGGCTGGGCGGCACCTCTACTCCCGGTGGGGCATGGATGTCAGTTGAAGAAGGCAGCCAAAAGCCGTCAGGCCAGGCCGAAAGCTCTTAACACACACCTCTTGGGGTACCTATACCCCTAAACGGACCATCACTCAGAGAGCTGGGCTTGCGAAGGCTGCTATTGTTGTCTGAAGTTCTGCACCAGGATCCGACAAAACTGACGCAGAGCGGAACGAGGCACTCCTTCGTTGTTGGCTGTGCTTCCTGGCGCATCCGCATGAAAGGTTGAATTGAGAGTTAAGGTCGGTGGGCCGGTGGGCCCTGGCGCTCTCAGGGCCCCCGTACCAAGAAGGGCGGGATGTAGTGTAGAGAGAACATGGGCGTGATTAGGTTTGGCGGCCGAGCCTGGGGACTTGCAGCTGCAAACAACTGCTACTGTATGTTCCAATGCTTATAAACGTTTTGCTCTCTCACTCTTTTGCTGCTACTCCCCTGCCACCGCCTTCAACGGAAACAGAACAAGCTTGATCGAGTGGGAAGATTGTAGCGCACAGTGGAATGTTGTATGGCATCTTGTAGTCTTGCTCCTACCAGGTCGGCAATGCTTTGTTGTCAGTAGGGCTTAGCGAGGGAAACTCGGCCGGTGAGCGCTCTTCTGCCCAGTGCATGGACGAATGGTTCTCTTGCTTCCGTTGCTGGTACCGGAGACGCGGGGAGATGTGCGAGGCCCAGGAGAGTCCTTCGTGACCACTGCATGAGTGTTTGTATGAAGTTAGACTCTGACCGAAGCTTAAGAAGCACCCTGCCTAGAACCCCACAGCGTCCGCCCCAAGTTTGCGGGAGCTGAGGGAACGCGAGCGTCGGCTGCCCTGGCGAGTGCTCCTCTCTGTGACAAGGGCGGAGGGCCCAGCTAATGCAGGGTTCAGGAGTTCAAGATTTGGGTTGTTGTAAGTGGGCTTCAGCTGCAGGATTTATCAGAGGGTCTTGGGCATGAGTGTAGCTTGGATTGGATGTTTGGGTGTTCGGGGTTGAGTGCCTTCAAGGGTGTTGTCTGCGGTTTGCAGCTCAAGCTGTCCGAGCAACTCAAAGAATTCGAACCGATGGCGATCGGACTTCGAGCTTAGAGTAGTAGAAAGCCCGCAAACCGCACCCAAACCCAGAGAGACCTCTAACCTCTCCATCCCCCCTACGTCCGCCCTGCTCCTCAGGTGAAGCAGCTATCCTGGCCGGGAACCCCGGAGTGTGATATGTTGCTGTTTGTATTTTCATTCGGGGTGGGCTTTGGGTCCTTGACAAGCGAGAGTTGGTGGAACGCGCAAAAGCTTGCTCCGAAACCCCCCGTGACACCCGCAGCCTCGCAGCCCTCCAAGAGCCTGGTTGCCTTTAATCTACGGAATTGGGACTCGTGTTCCATCGTGTTCCATCGTGTTCCATCGTGTTGCATCGGGTTCCATCGTGTTTCCTGAAGTTCCCTTGTGCAGCAGATGTCAAAGTCAGGAGACCCCCAAACCAAGCCTGTGCAACAGCGAAGGCTCGGCTTGGGTGTCTCCTTCCTGTGTCAGAACACAGGGATCTTGTGCGGACCTTAAGGGAAGAATTTGAGCGGGCTTTTCTTGTGGATGTGAGCAGATGGATCGGGGAGTTGGCCTTTGGGGAGAAGTGAGCCAGCAGGTGTCCTGAGCCCCAAAGCCCAAAGCAAATATAGTTCAGAACGAGGTAAGTCCGAAGCTTGTTTGGCATTTCAAGGCCCAAGTACGACCTTCTGGTGATGAAGATGAAGGAGGAGGAGAAAGAGCATGAAAGCGAAGAGCGGAGGCGTTCTCTTAGCTTTTCTCCTCTCACTCCTCCCCTCCGATCTTCTCCGCCTCCCACCTATCGAGTGCCTGTCGCCCACGCTGTCCTTCTCGATGTCTCTCTCCCTGCCTTCACACAGGGAGGCAGGGTCTCATGCGAATCATTCTGCTAATCGCTGTATCTCTGTCAAGAGTGGTGGAGACTGCTTTTGGCTTTAGGGACTTGAGCGTTTGGAGGTGCTTGGACCAAGACCCTAGTAGCCTTAGCGAATGTGTGCAGCTCTGTTTCTTTTCGTGGGGAGGCTCCATGAAAACCTCTGGGAGTTCGAGCCCTTCAACTCCTCGGCACGGCCCTCGTGTCTAGGGAGTGAAGAAGGGTGGAGGTTGCGCTAGGTTTGTGGAGGGTTCCTCCGCACGCCACTGGGGGTTCAGAGTTCCAAGCGCTCGCGGATTGTTCTTTAACCCGCAAAGCCATGCCCTCGCAGACCCCGAACCGCAGTTGAAGACCCTGACAGCCCGAACCGCCGCTGAAGTGTGGGGGATTGAGCCAATTGAGGGCAGCGAGGGGCTGGTGAGGCTTAAGCCCCTGGAGCTTCAGTCTACTCCTCAGCCCGAGCCTCTACACCTCAGCTTAAACGCCTCGGCCTCCTGGCTTCTGAGGCATTGCTTTGGCACTCAACTCCCAGACCCCGCCTTAAACCCGGCCCTCAAGACTTGAAACTCTCAACCCCCGAAGCCTGAAATGGGGCTTCAGGCCTGGCCTTCAGGCCTCGTGCAGGTGGCAGAGGCCTTGCTTCTACCTCAGCATCCGTGTTTGGGGCGCCTCTCAGTTTTGGCACTTCTCAGTTTTGAAAGGGGATCGGGCCTGCCCAGAAAAGCATGCTGTTGAACACATTGAAGTGGTCCGACATCTTGGGCCAGAGGTTTTGGTCAGTAAGGTCCGAAGCCTATTGAACTGCAGGGGTTGCTTGTGCATGCGATGCAGGGCCCCGGGTGTCACGTGCCTGAGGTCCTGCTACCAGGATGCAGAAGGCCTGAGGGCAGCCGACTGTCCTAGACCTTCAACACTGGTTCTGGGTTCGTTGGACTTGGAGCTTGGGTCTTGCGACGTCTTGCGGTTGTCGGTTCCTGAAAAGTTAAGGAGGCTTGGGTTGCGTCTTGTGACTAAGAGGATGCTAGGGGCGCATGTTCTCACACCTGTGAGCTTCTGATGTCGAATCGGCTTGTGCAGGAAGCCATATGATCCTTCTGGTTTTCTTTCCTCACATACCGGAAGAGTCGTGGCATCTGGCAGGTTCTCGCCTTTTCCTGGCTACTGATGAAGGCTCCTCCATTTGGAGTGCCCGGGCGCCCGGTAACGCAACATTGGGGGGCTC